AAATTAAGACATCACTACTTTCGGCGAATGGCTCCAGTTTACTGAACACAAGGCACGATAGCATTTTGGAAGTTGGACCGCGACGCCTGTGACTGCCGGAACAGAGAAAGAATGGTTCATTCACTATGGCAATACCATTACTATCCGATAAAACAACCTGAGTACATACAGCAAGACCTGGTCCCTTAGAAAGTGTTATTCACAAACCGACGGCAACAGCTGATTGTGAAAATACAACGATCGAATGATAGAAAACTAATGAACGAGTAAAAAAAATTCGTTAACGAATGAAAGAATGACGAATGATGAACACGATTGTGTGACGAAACTCGTGAACAAGGGAATGCGTGAATGAACGACGTATGGCTGAATAAGCGAATAATGAATAAACACTTCTGACTGAATAAGGAAATGGGTCAGTTACGACTGAATCAGTGAATGATGAGTAAATGAATCAACGAACGAATGAATGTGCAAATTGATTTATGAGTGTGGAGAGGGAACAAATTACTGAACGACTAAACAAGTGAATCTGCGCAAACGATGAATGAATGAATGAACGACATAATGAACGAATGCATGAATGAATGAAGTTATGAACATATGTGTGAACGAATGAACGAATGGTCAACAAGGAATGAATGATCAACGAATGAATAAGCGAATGAATAAATAAAAAATCTATCGACACTAAACGAATGCTGGGCATGTAAGTGAATGTGGGAAGGAATGAGTGAGTGAATGAACGAATCATCGAATCTGTGAATGAACAAATGAACACTGAATGAGTGTATTAATAAACGCATGAATGACTCAGTGAATAAGCTGAATGAGTGAGTGTATGGATAAATAAATGCAGTCTATTTTTCCAAAAGATCCTTTCGCCTAAAATTAGATCGTGAGCCTCGTTATTACATTAGGGAAATGACGCAGTATGATCATTTTAACGAGCCATCCTTACATAAGTAAGCATCTAACTGCAGAGGAACTCCACAACCTCATTCACAGTTCCTTAAAAACAGTCACGACTATTACATAAGCTCTCATTTAACCGTCACCAAGGAGCAACCTGTAGAAGTTTATTCCACTATTAAATTCCAAGCTATATGAATTACCGAGGCAATGTGATCAACACATCTGTCATATCTATGCCGGCCGAAAAGTTGATTACGCCGTTTCTTTCAACAGTTTACAAGACTGAAGGAATAATGAATCATCACTGTTCAAAACTCGAGAATGGAGAACATATCACCATTAATCGGTTTTCAGTGTACCACAAAACTGAAAAGTATACAACTTTGTAAAACAGCTAGCACGCATTTCCAAACAGCAACGAATTCTATGCGTGACGACAGCAATAACGTTTCCAGCACTAATGAATTTAATGACTATGTCATAATGCGTTTTAAGGTGTTTTCAATGGTACAATATGCAACAGTGCTTTTCCGCCTCTGTGGATAAGTTCCCTGAGATCTCGGTGGCTACCGTGGTCCATGATGTCATAAACATCACTCGGTTCAAAAAATGTTTCGACCATTTAGAAAAGGAATCCAGGAACACCTTCATTCTTATTACCATCCTCTCGTCCTTGACTCAGGGAGCGGACAACGATGAAAATAAGGGATTGCTCGGCAGGGTGAAGTACAGGCCTTATTTCCCTTTAGCCAATAAGATAGGTGAAAGTTTGTCGTCAATCCCGAAACCATCGATCAACGCCGCTTTGACAGATTATTATCAAATCCTGACCGATGGTCCCTCCAATCCAATGGTCAGGAAGCGGCTGCCGCAGTTAGGCCGATCGGCAAATGAGCTTTTCTAGGTGGAAACCAGTGGTGGCGGCTGATTAACAAGCAGGCAGGTGTTCACAAGGCAGCAGCGTAGTTGCTCTACACCCCTCAGCTCCAAGGAGACAAGGTGTAAAAGAACAAATGCCCTGAAGAAATAAGAACTGAAACTACTGCACCAGGGTTTCGACGACGGTGACTCGTCAACGCGATGGCCCAAGGGTCCCATGACAACATTTTTCTGAGTGGTGTAACGGCTCCCATCGTTGACTACGCGCACATTATGATGATTACAAACGTCCCGACAACAAGCCCGTTAGAACTTCAGAATACTGTTTTTCTTCTCTTCCACATTTCTGCTGTTCGAAAATGGACTCCACCCAATCTGAAATATGTAATATTAATATGTAATATTCCTTGATCTAAAAAAGTGAGTGAGTTGAGGAATGGGCGTAGGACTGGACCTCTCCCAATTTCCCATGCGAGAAAATTACGTAGGGGCTAAGGCCAGCAAATAGACGAGTGACAGAACAGAATACAGAATTTGTGAAACTTTCTCTCTTAATCCTGTGTCAAAAGAGAAAGGGTTATTTCGATCTCACTGGTTGTGCAATCGCTCGGAGCCGCCGTGTCGCCGTGTACTTCGTTGTGTTTGAGTTCTGAATCAGCCATGCGGTTTCGACCTCTTACTCTGCTTCCTTGTTTTCTCCTCTTCCGCTCCTTGTTAGAAAAAATTTCGTCACTTTGGCGAACTTCGCAAACGTTGCCTGTTCAGATGATAACAGAAGCTGAAAGTGGTGCAGATTCGAAACTTCAGCCGGCGGTATACGCCAAAAACCGACGACGAATATCGAATGTCGCGGCTGTGGGTAAAAACCGACAGCGGACATTTGATGAAGCTGAACGACGCTCAAAAATCTGCTTTCACAAGTAAAACCAGTGTTTGTCGACATCGCTCTGTAAACAGCATTGAAATACGGCAAAGGCGTTGGCACGAGCACCGGCAAGCACGTCCAGCCGGGTGATAGTCGACTGAGAAAAGTTTCGTCGCGCTCCAGGGCGGGTCGACTAGTGACAACGAGGACCGCCTGTCGGGAGGTCACTGAGGAAGCCAGAATCGTCGGATCAGACTTCAAGCCTCACATGTGATACCAACAAATCTTATACTGTATCCTTGTACATTCTTTTCTGAGTGGACCTGGCTAAACGCTGAGGGTAGTAGCCGAATAGCTACTACCTGAGAATCGATGCCGTCCCTCAAATCACTTCTTCTCTTATTATTCACATTGCTCATGAGTCTAGAATCGATAAACGACGTATCTCTCGAATACCGAAAAAGAATGACGGATTCTATTCAACCAAAGAGGAGCAAAGCCTATAGCGTGACATTTCTCTATGACAAAAGACGCTTGTAACACAATGCGGTCATAAGAACTAACCGTTACTTTGCCCAACCAGTACAGCAATGAATGTCACTCATTAAAACACGTAAAAGCGGTCTTAATGGTCAGCACAAAACCGGCAGACGATCCTCATCGACAGACAATCAATGGCAATATGTAGATAAACGTACAGCGCTTGCTAAATAGGCTAGCACTACTGCTCAAAAGGGAAACGGAAAGTCTGTAACCGCTGGAATGTGTCAATGTTAAACTATAATGACGGGTCCATTTCTGGTGCCCTTCTGTTCATAAAGTTAATGTTAGTTTGCTGATCTCCATTTCCATACCATCAGCCAGGAGTGTCTTGTTTTAAGTAAGAGTCGACAACAGCTATGTGGCAAGCATAGTGTGTAGACTCCTGTTTAATTCCCATAGAGTGATAATAACCTATCAGCCACGGAACGAAGGCGAAGCGTGTCCACCAGGATCACTAGGTTGTGAGTTAGAAGCTCTGCCGACTGAGCAACGCCCGCCTCCAAATTCACTTAACGTTACAGAACAATTTTGCTTCCGCATGACAGCACTCGC